AAAGTAAAAGCTCCCTGCTTCTCCTTGATGAATGTCAAAAGTAAACAGTAAGGGTTTGGAGGAAATCCTACTTCGTGTATTTATGGCAAAATGATGGAGAAGAAGTCGAAACTTGAAAATTGACCGGAGACAAATTAGTTACTATTTAAGATATTCTCGAGCAATATTAAAAGATCGCACATAGTTACATATTTATTTAACACTAAAAGGTCTATAGAACTGATGTGTAAGCTCAAAATTTGACAAACTAATTTTCACTTGTCGCTACAAGAGAAACAAGAATGATTATTGGTTTACTCCGTTTTATCTTGAGAAAAATTCCTCATCTCTTCTGATTTGTAATAGAAACACGTTGTAAATAGAGTTTTATTTAAAATGAATGTCTATATTTTGGAGAGATCTTGGGGTTTGTTATTTGGTGGTTAAATCACTTTTTCCCTATAAATAGAGAGGTTATATTTCATTGTAATTCATCTTAAATCAATAAGATTCACTCTCCCTACTTTTCTTTGCAATACTGTTCTTCTTCTTTTATTGTTTTATAACAACACAAAAATTTTGGCAAAACATGTTTGTTAATAGATTTCATTCATGTTTTGGCAGATTTTGAAAATAAAATTTTCAAATCCCAAAACTAGCTTTAGACTTGTTTTTGGCCCAAAATATTACTGTTTGATTTTTTAACAATTTTAAAAATTACCCTAAACTTTTGTATTTTATAAAAAATCTCACCATCTATTATGGTCCAACTAATCCACCATCTAATTACTGTCATCACGTAATATTATTGCAATTTGACGAATTATAGTGGCTAGTAATTGTGTTATTAGCAGTTGATATTAAAATATCAGGTTATGGTTTTAGGATAGTGTATTATGTAGTTCATTATAAAAATAATAATTTTGTGCCAAACTTATCTATATTCAGACTATAGTTTGTGATAATGATAATGTTACACCCCATGTTTTCGTACGTGGAAGGACGCCATGAGTAAGTTGATATAAAATAGGAAATGAGATATTACATCCCACATTTTTGTACGTTGATGTTTCGTCGTAAGTTAGTCGAAAGCTCGGGAATGAGATTATTTTGGAATCATAAGTATTATGCTATTTCAAACAATGAATAAATAAATTCGTGAAGGTGAGCGGACAAGCAAATCGAAGAAAATAAGTTTCATCAAAGTTTGGCAATTTGAGAAAAAATACGGTCCGAGCTATAATACCGTGTATTTATAGACTAGTGTCATACAAGGTACCACATGACCATGATAGTATGATGTATAAAAGTGTATTAAAAATGAATAGTATTTTAAGTAATTTGAGATAATTATTAACTATGTGGGTAATTGGTTGATTATTGATTAATGAAAGGTTAATTAATTAATTAAGGGATTACTGATTATTAAATTAAGACTTGGATGAGTCCTAAATGAGGACCCAACGTGGCAGCCCCTCTTTCTCAATTTAGTGACTCATAAACAACACTTTAAGGTGGCAAAATCTTGGAAATCTATGGCTTAGTCATCTTGCCAATGTGAGGCCCACACAATATAAATCATAAAGACCTCTCTAATTTCCATTTGGTAAGAAATAGATCTTTATCAACATTTCAAGAAAGAATACCATATCATCTTGCAACGTGATGTTGTTTCGATCTTTCATACAAATACTACGTAATGTTATAGCAACGGAATTTTGCAATTCTAAGAAAGTACGATGCAATTTTTCTCAAAGAATATTATGTAGAATTTTTCTTACTTCGATCCGTCGTTACATATTTTGTTGCAATCAACATGTATTGGAGGGATTGTCAAGAGAATCGGTTCAGGTATGTTAAGGCTATCCCTTCTTTCTTTTGGCATGATCTATACGACACAAACAAAACGAACAAATGNTTCGATCCGTCGTTACATATTTTGTTGCAATCAACATGTATTGGAGGGATTGTCAAGAGAATCGGTTCAGGTATGTTAAGGCTATCCCTTCTTTCTTTTGGCATGATCTATACGACACAAACGACTCTATTCGTAGAAATACTAGAGGTGATTATGTTCTTGATTCCCCATGTGTCATATTATTCTATCATTTGTTCATGGGTCTCAAAAATACGCAAGTTGGTAAAATTTATTTCATGATATTAGTCAGAGGCATAATGGTCTTATGACGTATCGAGAGATTTTATTAACATATTTTCACATGCATTTCATACATTTACATATGCACATTGACCCATGACCAGATGGCGTTATATACACGTATATATATGTATATGGGATATGAGAAAGGTTATGGCATTATATACGAACCACTACCTGATCAGCTGGTATATGCTGATGATTTTGCCCATAGTGACCGAGGTGATATGATGGGATGCCCTCGTAGGCTTGATGATGTTATGAACACATGTATCTATGCACGACATGATGACATTTTAAATATTAAAGGATTTCACAGAGCTATTCAGATTTACATGTCGTGTCTTTTACTCCATATTTCTCTCATGTCTATTGTCTACTGATTTTCATTCCTTACATACTCAGTACATTATTTGTACTGACGTCTCTTTTGCTTGGGGACACTGCGTTTCATGCCTGCAGGTCTCGATAGACAGGTCGAGAGTCCTCCAAGTAGGCGATCAGCTCAGCGGAAGATGTTAGTGTACTCCATTTGCTCCGGAGTTACTTGTTTGGTCAGTATAATTTAGATGTGTATTGTTTGGTATGGCGGGGCTCTGTCCCGACCTTTATGATATTATGTATTCTTAGAGGCTTGTAGACATATGTCATGTATACAGATTCTTTGATAGCCTTGTCGGCCTATGTTTTGAGTATATAAAGGATCATGCCGGCCTTATAGGCCCGTACGTCATATGTATAAGTTTCGATTACATGTTGGATCGTCCAATGTCGAGTATTTCTCCATGTTTTATTCTACTTATCTCACGATAGCCTCTCTGACTTATTTACCTATGATAGTATGATACGAAAAGATACGTTATGTTGGTACTCGGTTGAGTAAGGTACCGGGTGTCTGTCGCGGCCCATCGATTTAGATCGTGACAGATAATGAATGACATCGATGAAGGTTCTGCATATACAAGATTAACAAGTTTGTTCCTTTGGAATTGTTGGGTATTTTTGATAGTTTTTTGAACTTATGAGTATAAGTCACATTTCAATATTTTTTTCAAAAAACAAAAGGCGAAATATGTTTTGAAAAATGATGTCCAAACATATTTTCATTTTCAAACCAAATTTCATCCAAATCAAATTTTTTGAAACAAATTTGGAAATTTATGACAAAAAAACGGAGTAATAGAGAAGGCAATGTAAGAAACTGAAGAACGAGTAACTGATGAATAGCCGAGGATGGATGAAGTATTGCACACATGTTTTCCTTTTTCTTTTTTTGTTGCTTTAAACCCAACGTATGAGTTATATTTTAAAACTTTTGTGCATCGATAGTGTGTAATTTGTTTACACCGCTAGGCCAAAATGACCTACAAATTTAGGTAATTGTTTATAGCTATTCTAATTTGGTAACCTAAAACAACAGTAAGTAACATGTCAATATATATATTTTTAAAGACACTACTCACTTCATTTCATTTTATGTGTTTGGATACAAAGTTTAAGAATGCAAAGAAAGCTTTATAGTCTTGAGATTTGAACTAAATATGTGTATAGCATATCAAAATTACCCTTTGAATCTTATGACATTAAACATGACATGTTAGTCCTACAAGAAAGTGTCATCAAGAGTAAAATGAGAA